CCGCAAAAATTTCTTATATAATTTTACAAATTTTTAGGCCCGCACTGGCCCGCAATTATAAAGTTTTGCAAATTTTTTGGCCCAGCCTGGCCTGCAATTATAAAATTTTGCTTCAGGCCTGGCCCAGACTGCAAAATTTGCAGGCCGGACCAGGCCGGGCTGCAGGACACAATGTAGGCCTCTAGTTTGAGCTAGTTAAATGTACTGGTGTACTTTTTACAGAGTCTCAAGTAAGGGACAGTTTATGTAACAATGACTGTATTTAATAAAGTTATTCATGTAGTAGTATTTTATCAGTAGTTTTATTATAGGTAATCATGTATTATAGATGTTATATATTTGTTGTCAAGAGGAAGTTATCTTTACCAAAGGACCTGTTCAGGTTTTATTTATAATTAAAATCTTCTATGTACATTATGCAATGGATACGACTGATATCACTGATACTCTTAATCAGTCATATTCTACTGATATTTACCTTCCACTCAATCACTGCTATCCATCACATTTGATGTATGTGTTACATGTGACTAATCAGTCACATGCAACAAATATGACAGATATGATGGATGCAATCAACTCCTTCTCTAATTTAGAGGCTACTCTAGACAAAGTCACAAGTAACACTTTTTGTCATAAGCCTAGAAGCACCAACTTAGACTATACAAAGGGGTCAGTTGTTGTGTAGCATTAACTGCAGTGGTAGGCTGTAGTGATCTAATGGCTATGAGGTCACTGACATCTAGAATGAAGGCATTAAGATGTCATGACATCATAGTCGGAGTTAGAAGATAGTATTTAAATATTTAGGTAATTAAGTTTGTTTGTTTATTTTTTCACTTTGCTATTGCTTGACTTAAGGAAGTCTAGTTCTATCATATTTGAATAACTATTTGCATAAATATTTAGAAAAATCTTTTATTAACTACAAGTTTTCACACCTAAAAGACTTTCTACTGTAAACAAAACAGAACAAGAATATCTGTATCAAGTATGAGTTTACATAAGAAACAAATAGAAGGAAACTACAACCTACTGGTATATAAGAAATCAGTTTCAGCTAAGTCATGTTTCAAGAATAATCTGGATAGGCTCACTTTGAATACTTTGTAGGTGTTCTGTAATACAAAAGGGTTGTCAGGCTTAGAGTTCAAGAAAGAACTTGTAGAAAGATTTGCAGTCAGTATAACAAGCAAATTAAAAGAAAAAGTAGTAGAATTTAACAATTTAGGGTAGGTTAATAATGAGCCAGGCAGTTACAACATAGAGAAAGGAAGGCATAGAAAAGGAATAAGACAGAGTATGGACCACTTAGATTTGTATTGTGATGCTGGTATGAAGAGGTTTATGCATGATATATCAGGTAATATGTTACAAAGTAATAGAAGCAAGAAAAACCCTTTTAAGGAAAATAGCTATATGATGTTGAAAAGATCATTAGAAAAGTCTTTACAGGTAAAATTGTTATGAGCACTAGAGGATATAAAGCAAAGTTTATATTTAGTTGAAAAATGAGATAAGGATAAGTTTTGGCCAGAAGTAAAAATAGAAAGGTCTAGAGATTAATTTGAATATAATGAGTGGTGAAAAATTGAAAAAGAATTAGATAAGGCAGTGTTGTTGAAATCTGTAGCACCAGTTATAAGAGCACAAGAGTTAACTTATACTTAGGCATATACTTTATAAGTGGCTAATAAAGAGGGCTGAGATATAGCATTAGCTTTAAGTGATCCAGTTATTGAGGATTCTATGGAAGTGTCACTTAGAAAAAGATTAGTACTAGCTAGACAAGCAGCAAGAAGTAAGAAAAGAAAGTTTGATTATGTATCATCTTCTAAGGTAAATTTAGTGGTTTCTCAAGCATGATAGGTCCTTATACTTAGTTTTCACAGTTATCAGTTCAAAAGTCATTGTTAGATCAAAATAATGTATCTATTGGAAATCCATTAATTTCATAACAATAGGGATTAAATCAGATGTTTCAACAACCTGTTTATTGTCAGTTAATCCAGCAAGCATTTAGTAGGCAACCATTAGGGCAATATAGTTAGCCAATATTTCAAGAATAGATGGGGTTACTAGTCTGGCAACAGCAGCCGAATATAGGTGATCTAAAAGATTCTGAAAGGAAGTCAGGAAGATTAAATAATATTATCTGCTATATTTGTGAGAAAAAGTGCTACATTGTTACTAATTGTCCTCATAAGAAAGGAGGGTTGCCTTTTTGAAAAACAGATGCCAAGCCAGAAAGTTAACTACACTTGAAACAGAATAAAAGAAGTGGAATTAGGAGAAGTGAAGATAAAGAAGATAGTAGCTAGGAGTATCTATACAGAGAAAGCAGTAGTCTATTGGGAAAGAATTATCAAACTGGCAATACTAGTAATGAATTGGTTAAAGAAAGAGATATCTTTATTTCTGAAAGGAATAAAAACTTTGTTCCAATTAGAGGCTTTAAGACAGATCTACTTTACAAGGGAAAAAATGGAGTGGTTAGAAAAAGAATTAGACTGACTTTGCAGATCAGGTACAGTACAACAGATTCATTAAGGAAAAGAAAGACCAGAGTATTTATTAAAAATAAGTCCAGTTTTTCTTATCTTAAAGAAAGATTCAAAAAAATACAGGCTAGTAGTTGATTTAAGATGATTAAACAAGACCTTGCTCAAGAAGACAGTGCATTTTGAAGGTTTAGGTGGGTTTCTCAGATCAATTGGCCAAAAATGATGGATAGTCACCTTTGATCTGAAAGATGGTTATAATCATATAAGGATGAACAAGTGGGCACAGCATTTTCTAAGTTTTAGATACAGAGAAACATGGTACAAATATACAGTACTTTTTTTCAGTCTTTTTCAGACAGTTTGGATCTTTTTAAAGATATGAAAGCACTCATTGGATCATGAAGAGCAAGAGAGATATTTTGTGGAAGCTATTTGAATAATGTTTGGGTGGCCCATCCAGACAGACAGACATTGGTAGAGATTAGAGACAGCATTATTGTAAAGGATTTAAAGGAATGTAGATGAATAAGAGTTCAGAATAAGGAGCAATAGAAGCCAGCACAAGTAGTGAGATATCTTGGTTTAGAAATAGATACTGTTATGGCTCAAGTATGGGTAACAGAAGAAAAGTTAAAGTCAGTGAAGACTAAATTGGAGGCTTTAAAAAAACTAAAGAGGATAAGTGTAAGGAATTTAGCATCGATAACAGGAAAATTCAAAGTTTTGCATAGGAATTTCTTCCAATACAGATAAAGTGTTTGGAATTTTACAGTCTAATAGATGTGCAGAATCAGGGTACTTGGGATTGGAACAAATTTATTATGATAACAGGTCAGGCAAAAGAAAACATAGCTTGCTTGAGCAAGAACTTAGAGCAATAGAATGGCAAGCCAGCATAGAAGCTTTCTCTAATAAAACCAATTTTTATAGACATGTTAACAATGGGATGGTGTAAAGTTTACTTGGAAAACAGAGCAGCAGGAAGCTGGGTTCTTCCATATAGAGCATCAGAGATTGCCTAATTAGAAAGTATAGCAATGTTAAGAGCTCTTCAATTATTTGTGAACCTAGTAAAGTACTCTTGGGCAATGCTTTATATTAACAACAGAGTAGCACTGAAAATAGTATCAAGAAAAGAAATTGCTTTTGGCAAAAGAAGATAACTTATCAGTTATAGGAGTTTTATAAAGCAAACGATATTTGGATCTACAAGATTTATTAGATTCCAAATACAGAGAATCTAGCAGACTATTTAACAAGAAATATAGATATGAATGATTGGAGTTTAAATAATAACATATTTGTAGAACTAGAAAGTTTATAGAAAAAGATAACAATAGACAGATTTGCAGATCATTTCAATGCAAAGAAAGTGTATTTCAACAGTCTTTATTTTTGCTCAGGTTCAGAAGCTATAGATGCTTTTATTCAAAATTAAAAAGCAGAAATAAACTATACATGTCCATTATTCAATATAATACATTGAATTTTAGTATACAGCTTTGAATGCAAAGCAATTTTAGTCATAATTTTGCCAATTTGGAAAATAGCTCTATGGTGGCTCTTTTTCTTCTTGCCCTAAAGATAGTAATAAATTTTCTATCAGTAGTCAAGACCATTGTGCCAGATCCTACTAGCCAAGTAGAACCATTTAGAAACCCAAATTGGAGGTTTTTAGTAACAAGAATAGTATAGTCAGAGAATTGTTAAGACATGCAGAGAGTATAGCTTTAAAGTCTGTAGGGTTATCTCAGAGAGTTTGTCTAAATAAAGCTTATGAACTTTATAGAAAATTTTGTAAATAGGCAAATATTGTAGAGAATAATATGAATAAAGATATGCTATTAGCATTTATAGCCTAGTTGGATATGTTAAGTCAAAGTGGACAGATGCAAACATGCTTAAGTGCATTATTAAAGGAGTTTAAAAGATCAAGAAACAAGGATTTAACAAATAATTTTAGAGTTAAAGAAGTTGTTAAGGGTTTAAGATTACTAAAAGCACAGGATCAGGAGGCATCTTGGCCTCAAAACCCTTTTCCACTTGTGGCTTTAAAGATGTATTATAATGTACCATCTAGCAAAGCAAATCCAGTATTTTGGAGATGAGACTTAGTACTTATAGCAATAGGTTTTTATACTATGAGAAGACCAGAAAAGTTATGTTCTTTAAGATTAAAGATATTAAAAAGAAAAATAATCTGATATAGATAAAGATTAAGAAGTCAAAGAATAACCCCTTTGCAAATGGAAAATTTGGTTCAATAGAAAGAATAAATAGTAGGTTCTGTTCAGTGCACTTATTAAAAAAGTACTTAAAGGTTAGACCAAGTACCAGTAAGGAGAAACCTTTGTTTTTGTCAAATACAGAGGGACAGATGACTGTTGTAGCTATAACATCAGTGGTAAGATGAATGACAGGTAATGCAGATATTCAAGGGTAATTTACATCCCATAGTTTAAGGATTGATAGAGCTACAGCAGCTATGAAAGAAGGCATAAGCTTAATACAGATTAAGGCTATTGGTGGATAGAATTCTAAAGCAGTACTTTTGTATTTAAGATCTGTCACTACTATACAGATGAAGGCATCTGTATTAATAGGCTTTTCTGAAAAGACTGTTACTATAAAATAAGTTGGCTTTACAATAGAGAATTTTGCATAATATGATAATAAATAAAATTTGTATGCATGTCTTCTTTAAATAAATTAATGTTCTGATACTTTTTATGACTTATAATTAGTTTAATTGTATTTTTTATTTGTATTAGAAAGGAATCAAATGCTTGGTGAGTGACAAAATAGAGGTTACTCAAGACAAAGTCATGAGTAGCACTTTTTGTTATGAACCTAAAAGCACCAACTTAGACTATACAAGAGGGTCAGTTGTTGTGTAGCATTAACTGCAGTAATAGGCTGTAGTGATCTAAAGGCTATGAGATTACTAGCATTTAGAATAAAGGCATTATGACATTATGACATCATAGTCAGAGTTAGAAGATAGTATTTAAATATTTAGGTGATTAAGTTTGTTTGTTTATCTTTTTGCTTTGCTGTTGCTTGACTTAAGGAAGTCTAGCTCCCTCCCAACCCTCTCTGCATTGTTTTGTAATAATTGGTAGAATATGTGCAAATTTAATCTTGATATAATGTCAAGTGTATGCTTATCTAGTAGTAAAGTTATTGTTTAGAGATACACATTGCATTGGTTGTAGCTTGATTTTATGGGCCAAATACATAAAATTCATGAATAACAGCTTGGTTTGACAGACCAAATGTTATAGTATAGGATATACTAGGATGTTAAATTTTTTGCCTTCAAGTGATCTATTGATTATATAATTTATTTATAAGTATATTCGATCCTAGAGAAAAGCTGGTAATCATGTGACAGCAGAGCACAAACCCATAATTAGTTTAGTTGTATTTTTTATTTGCACTAGAAAGAAATCAAATACTAGATAAGTGACAAAAAAATAATATTTCAACCCGAACAGCCAGGGTCCATTTGGGTTTTACAACTAATTTATAGAGTAATACACAGAGTTTGCCTTTTTGCTTTTTACTATGGGTTTCACCTTTTACTAGGGGTTTTGTCTTTTTATCTTTTATCAGGGGTTTTATTTTTCATCAAGAGTTTCATCTTTTGTTATAGGTTTTGTTTTTCATCAGAGTTTCATCAGTTTCATTTTTCGATGAGTTTAGGTTTCATTTTTCATTTTTTTCCAAAAACAGTTTTGCCTAACAACTTTAGTATAACCTCAAGATAATGAAATTTTCACAGTTTAATTATATTTATAAATACAAATTTTAGCTTAATTCAATGAAATCCCAATCAAAAAGTTTTGTTATACTGTATTTACATTTATATATCTGTATAGTATCAAATAATTAGTAGTATAATTCACAAATCAGTGAGTCTGTTATTAAACTAGTCCAATTCTCACATAACCTATAGCAGTTAAGCCAAAATAGGCATATTAGATTTGGTTGGTGATTTATCCATAAGAAAGTACTAGTCTTCTTTCTCAAGTCTTTTTTTTTAACCTCTTTTTATACTAATTTTTGTCTTTTCTTGTCTGTTTTGTCTTCTTTTCTATGCCTCAACTCAGAATTATTCTTCATCTAATCAGAGTTGAAACTTCCTCTATTATGTTAATGGTTTGGTCACTGACTTGTAATAAGTGATCAAAATATAGTTTAGTAATTTAATAATGACAAGTTTAGTGATGTTATTTGGTGAATGATAGTAGTAACAATAGAGTTTAACAATAGTTTATTAGTTTGTATAGGGTACACTTTCAATTTTATTAAGGATTGAGTAAGTATTATTATTAGAGAATTTATTGTTAGAAAGGCAGAGGTTATTTTAAAGAAGGAATAATTATCTTTTTCTCCTAGGCATAAATGCCCTTTATTTATAATAAATGATTTATTTATATTAGTAAATAATTTCTGTCATAAATGCAATATCTTCCTTATATGTTATATATTAACTAAATTTAATAAAAGGCCAATATTTCATTTATCGCAGAAATAACATAAAT